CTGTTATTGATAATAGACATTACGCCCTCAGTTAATATGAAAGGCGCCTCGTGATAAGTGTTGCCAGTTAGACAGCCTCATTTGTTAAGGCTATTTAGAGATTAGCAGTGTGCGCTTGTTCACACTACATACGGATAGGTATTGAGCGACACTGGTGGATGAGCACTTAGCACTGGCATGCTTCGTATATGCTTCCACCTTTGATCAGTTCTCTGTATTAAGTTTGTTTAGAAGTATGCGAATAGAACGTTTCTGGTAATGTATTGACAAAGTATCGTGTATATGTTACTGACCTGAACTTTTATTACTGTAGATGTATTACTTTTCAACTATTTTAAAATAATGTGTAGTGCGTTATACTCCATTGTATAATCCTGATATATATCCATATATGCTTGTAGCTCAAGGTTAAGCCTGAGAGAATCCTAAAAAATGTACCTGTTCGATTGTGCCGGACGATCGATGAGTAGCCAGTTATGATCGAAGAACTGCGATACAAGCACGGGTGGTACGGTTATCTGTTTCGTTGTGAATTTCTTCGCGATTGAGTATGTGGGATGTTTCTCGTAGAAGCGTTCAGATGTTTAAATAGGCACCGGGCGGGTGATTGTTGGAAACATCAATTAAACAAAGAACGCAAAGTTGCATAAAATATTGATGATAAAAATGTACCGTTTCTAAAAGAAGACTTCGCGGCAACTTACTTTTTGATGGGGGCAAAGTGAAGAAAAGCAGGAAACGGTTAAGTTGTTTTTCTGTAGAACTTGTCTTCGACATGATTTTGTGCCTCAAAACAAAAATGAAGCTGACGTGTTTTTATGATCAAGCTACGTGTAGTGGAAATTGTAAAAGTTCAGGAGACTGCTAGAACGTTTGTTGAATGACACATTTTCCAACAAACGCACGCTGCGACAATTAGATGTAGGGATATTTCATACAGAAATTGGTAATCCTTAAGTACTTTTTATGGCAAACTGTAGTATCTTTTTGCGTCGCCAATGCGATATAATGGAACAGTGCATTGTTAGTCAGTTAATGTGAATAGGACGTTAATGGATGTTTTGGCATAATATGATTTAACACCTTTCAAAAGAAATGCATTTGACGTTCTTAATTTTTTTTTTGTATGGTGTTGACCCCCCCCCCCCCCTTGCTTTAGTTGTAATCTACTTCAGTGGCGAAGCCACCTTCAAAAGATGTCGCGGAAGAGGGGGGATCGTGTATGGATTTCTGGCACAATGAATGGGCCATTTTCTCCTGCCGCGTGATGTTTTATAAGCAATGAATTTTTTATCGTCAACCTGAAAGTTATCGTTGATATTATTTTCACTCTATACTTCGCTTCCGCAATCACTTAATGAGTAACGTGTTTATAATCTAAACTTGAAAACGCGTGGTAATCTAAGCTCGAAATGAGACGTAAACGCATTTCGTTTCATGGTGGGAGCCAGCCAGGACTGTGGTGCCATACGGAGCAACAATAAAACTCGAGACAAAAGTATACATTGCTCCCATTTCCCTTCTGTGTTCCTCTCTTGGTTTTCGTGACTTTTTGGTCTACAACTGGCACCGTAAGCTGGAGTGTTTGACAAATAATATAGTCTCCGTTGGGTCATGCTCTGATTTAATGGCAAAAAAGGATGAAATTTTTTGCATGATGCCACGTACAGATAGACAATGAGGTTTCGACATTTATCATATAGACATATCATACAGACTGTACACATAGAATGTATTCAAATCAAAACACTAAGCGCTAAGTAGCCAGCCTATGTCAAAACTTACTTCTGACAACCGGCTTTAATTCAACCAGTTAATATTGGAACATTGTTGAGAAACATATTTGAAACACAAGCTGCGATGCCACCTAAAGTAGCGATAACGTAGCAAAAAATTACATGCGTGGAACTTCTGTATTTAAAGTACTTTCTAAAAGTTTATTGTAATGTATAACCGTCATCGAGACAATTTTTGTTCTATAAGAGACAAATTTCCATTGGTTTGTATCCTTTTTTTCATACCCTCGACTCCTGTCGCCGTTAAGATTGACAAAGGGGTTACAAGCCACAAAGCTGGTGGCTATTTAGTAGGGAGCACTTAATGTGGCGATCAAAGCAAATGGTCAAACAAGCTCTCGAAAGTATATCAGCTTAGACGGAATTGGTTTAATGTCAAGATTATAGTTAATCACCTTAACACGGTCGTGAAACCTGTTAAGCGCTGCAATTATACCGTGTACTTTAATGAGTGTCATTTGTCATTCTCAGTCCAACAAAAGCATTAAACTTACAAATGTAAGTGCTCTATCTGCGACTCTGGAGGGATCAGTGGACTATTTATGTGTTGGTTAAAGGGCATAAACAACATATATATTTATAACGCCTCAAATGAAGCTTGTGTTATCATGACGACCTTAGAACAGATAGCACATTTGATAATTCAATAGATTTCGTATCAGCGAATTCCAACGACATTTCTCAGCCCAGATTTTTGATACGTTTAACGGGTTTTTCAAGAATAATTTAGCGCTAGCGGTGGGTTGAGAGCGTTGAAAAGTAAGATCTTTAACGAGGACAAGAAAATGCAAGTGTTTTCATCTGATAATAAAACATGTGTGCTCATGTGAGCTCAAAAAAAGTATATATATAAAATTTACCTAATTATTATAATTAATAATATTACTCAAATTGCAACCGGTAAGTTTGTCTCCATTCACGACGGAACTATCAACATTGAAATCTATTATTAATTGATCGTACAAATATTCAGACATTTCAGTCAGACAGAGAAGTGACGGCCATTATCGTCGCTTCCATTCTCGATAAAACCGGCAAATGTTCTAGGGAAACAAAACATTACCTCTTTGCATTGCGTGTGTTATCCTACTTATATGCGTAAATATCTAACGTTCTCTTCATTCTTAATGAAGCTACTACTAAGAAGATGAAGCCGGGAATAATATGGTTTGTATTCCATTCGGGCAACATCGTCTTGCCTGGTGGTTATTAGACAGATTCTAACCTATCAAACAGAACAAGCAAGAAATTGCGTTGAGCTCCGATTTTTTAACAAGCCGCCATCGTACCCAGTGACGTGTACCCGTGCAACTTACTATGATGATGCGCCATTTATTGTTTGTTGTAACATAAAAAAAGCTTAGTGGTATTTATTTACCTATCTGCGGCAGTCAGTTTTCGTGTAGAATCAGTGAATGTGAAACAGTTTATACTGCGCAAAAGGAGCTCACACCCTTCCCGCTATACTAGTTTTCCGTAGGTCACTTGGATACCAGGAGCGCAGTTCTCCTTTTTTCTGTCGCATTATATTCGTTTCGTGCTATTGAATAAAGAGCTCGCATCGGGGACGGAAAAGTTCGGCTGAGGTCGGGTTGAATTACCAGCGGTTTCGTCGTAGCTCCGTCCCTTTTCATCGCTTAGTTGTTCCTAGCAGCCATTCGGTAGGAACATTTAGCAATCGTTGCGTTCGCCACAACACGACGCGGCGTCGACACTCTGTTAATGTGCTCTGCAATTGGCGAGTAACAAACGAAAGATGTCGACAATGTTGGGGTATCTAGGCCTACGATGCTGGGGGCACTGACCACCACAAGCAATGTCAAATTCACTACGTATATCCATGGGTAATAGATCCCGACTATCAATCATGGCTAACCAACGTCACGTAGCAGTAATATGAACTAACAGGGATCAACTTGCTGATATTACTGTTTTTGCTGGTATCTCTTTCAATGTTTTTATGATGGGGCGACGCTACAGAGTTGCTCAGGGAGGATGGAAACGTACCAATAAAGTATAGGCGACGAGCCCAATTGCAAGACTGTAAGATAATCAAGATTTCCCTATAAAATAATCTATACATAGAGAAATATAGAATTAATTAGTAGAAATTGGGTAGAAAGAGTGATGACAACAACTGAATGTATAGTGACGAATCTTGTGTAATGTGTCTTGTGAAAACGAATGTATAGTGTTGGATCATCTGAACTTTTTAACTTTCAAAGTGAATAAGTGCGTACAAACATATTTGAGTAAGCAGTCATAATTTGCTGTCTCTGATACTCTGTATGGGTATAGATGGATGTGCTTATTATAAAATGAGTTAAATAACAAGTTGCGCCTCATTACTTTTCTATAATACATGTGTGTCCGTTATTATCTAGCAATGCTAGATTAATTAGATGAAGTAGATGAAGAAAATTTGTTTTGATAAGGCCTTCACACAAGGTACAACTAGCATATGACATGCTGACTCACACCGGAATGATGACACTGAGCTGATATATATATATATATATATATATATATATATATAGATTTATCCTATATATATGTATATAGTTATATTTATGCTGCTATTATTGCTTCTGCCGACACTCTGAAAATATCGATGTAACCTTAGCTCTTTACACCGCCGCTGTTACAACTGCTAAAAGTCCCGCTTTTACCAATGACTCTTCCGCGTAGTCAATTGATTGGACCGCAAAGTTGATTACGCGGTTCAAATTGTAAAAAGCCTTTGTCAGACCATCTGCCAATCTTATCACACGGTTTATTCGTTGCCGACGGCTATAAAACACCTTCATAACAAATCATAGGTACCACTGTAAAAGAGAAGCGAGACTCGCAGGGGATCACCAGTAAATTAAATCATCTGTACCATATGCAGATACGATAGCGTATGCGTATCTAGAACGAAATAGCCATAAAATGGGTCTAGATTAAACTATTTAAATAAAAAGATGGACTTATATTCTATATTTAATGTTAGGCTGTGTACAATGCCAGCGTTGATGTTCACCTGTGTTCATGTTGTATATATGCCCTTTGAAAACGTAGAATTCAGCTTAAGTTCGCCAAATTTTAGCCAAAAATTAACGCAGATAAAAATAATTGTGATCTTGTTTACTAGTTTGAAAAGGTCTTAGTCAATAAATAGTCGTACGTTTTTTTCTGTATTTATTTTCATGTATCACCTTTCAGATTCAATTGGAGAGGCTGAATTCTTGTACCGACGAGATCAATCGGCTTGAAGTGGAACTCGATGAATTAAATGCTCACTTTAGACATACGCTTTCAGTTTCATCACAGAAGCTTAACATCCTTAAAAAAAAACTCGGTTAGTATTATATGAGAATACTAAATGAGAATTATACCCAAAGATCACTTCAAGCTACTTTATTATTGTCTGCATACGTAAATATTCGTTAACACAGAATAGGTTTGATAAAGGATTATATCTGGAAAGATTTGAATACTTTAAACATTAAGATCTGAGCTAACGGGAAACTATTGTGAATTGATGTGGCTTTTAATAGTGCGGTTAGTCTCCACATGATTCCATAAGAGTCTATGGCTTCCCGTGCATTCCATAGGTATTGTGTAAATCTATCGTCCTAGCGACAATACAACATCTTGGTAGATTTACCGATGCCATATCATCGCCGCAAACCATTGTAACGGTCTAACGTTATGGAGAGTTCGAAGGCTTCGGACCCCTTACGTCACTCGCTGTCCGGTGGATAGACATTGGCCATACGACCACGGAATGGGAACTTGACATGTTAATTATCATACCGAAGAATCTTGTACGTATTTACCTAATATGGTTCATACGGCCTAGTCGCCATCGATCCACCCAGTATCTCTAGGAAGAGCTTTCTATTAAATATTCTAAATGATTTTTTATACACACCTTAATGTACTTTCTGTACGCTATGGTGAATAGCTTTGTGCTTGAACTCAATTTTTTTCAGATAAAGCTATTGAAGCAGCGCGGCCTTATTATGATTCAAGGCAAAGAGCTCTCACAGCACAGCAAGAATGCCAACGGGCGGCAATCCAATATCAGCGAGCGTGTGAAGTTCATCAGGCGGCAACAGAGACGATTGCCCTTGCCGAGCAGCGGTTCCTTAGTAATCAAACTGAGTGGGCCTTTGACGAGGCTTGGCAAGAGATGCTTAACCATGCTACCGAAAAGGTAATCTGGCTCCTTTATTTAGCCTCAGTGTTAACAGCTCTTGATGTTGACAACTCCAGACAGGTGTGCCTTAATTATCGAATTATCGAGTACATTTTTATCTCCCTTGAAAGTTAAGCTTAGAATCTAAGAAATGAAACACATATACCAAAGTGTTTAGATCCATCATTGTATCAGAGTTAATTCGGGCTGGTATCAAAAATGTATGATAACGATAGACTAGGTTCATGTCACTTTCAAAAGAGTACTATAATAATTAAATCCTTCAAACAGGTGACCGTTGCAAAGGCTCAAATGGTCGAAAGTCAAGGTGAACATCGGAGACGAGCTGCTGTTTTTAAAGAAGCTGAAGAGAGTATTCACTGTCTTGAGGAAAAACTCAAGAAAGAAATCAAAAGGAGTCGCATATATTTTGAAGCCAAAGAACGTTTTGAGAATACCCTAGAGGAAATAAAAGCAAGGTGAATGAAATAAACGTAAATGGTCAAATTAAGAAATTAAATGTGTGTGAGCAGCTTTATTTTAAGCAGCAATGTATTTCCGTGAGTGTATGTATTTTTAGTAGTTACTTTATTGGTTTCCAAACTCGTATAATTTCTATTTTAAATAAAAGCTATAGCGACCTTGAATTATTTTCAAGAAGTCTAATTTTAAAGCAATCAGCCGGGTCTACATTCCAAAATATTGATTCCCCTATTTTGAACTTCTGTGTAGAATCGAAGAGAAGCGTCGTGCGGTCTTAGGTTCTAAGGAACAATATAATGAAGCTCTGCATGCTCTTGAAGTCATATCCTCCGAAATCCACGAGCGAAGAAAAGCAAGATCAGGGTCATCGTGCACGGAAAGAAAATACAGAGACTCGGGATTTCAAGAGCTGCCATCAAGGAGTACATCGGAAGGTAATATGTAATAAGCGCATTTCTTTTTTGCTTTATTGGGGCAAGATACGAAAAAGGATCAATATATTCTCACCGCAATTTCAGCTGAAGATTTCTTTTAAACGTTTTGTTTGAACTCCGTTAGAACATTGCCCGTACACTCGATTCATTTATAGGCGAAATGAACGCTAGGACGAGAAAAATACGAAGGATAATTATTACTCCTAACTTAACGCTACTTGATTATTGTTCTATGGTGTCAATTCACCGCAGATTTGTGCGATCAAACCATTGGTCGTCTTCTTGAAGGCTCAATATCACTTGGTGGATCAATGACGGTTGATGAAGGATACTCGCAGTCTCAGCTTGGGTCCGATTCGCACCTCGCAAGTCTTGATTGCTCGATTTCGTTGTACTCATCGCTAGCGTCCTCCATTTCATCATTGGACAGGCTCAAGGATACGCAGCAACGACAGTACCAGCAGCAGCAGCAGCAATTACCGTTAGGAAAACACGAACCTTTACTGGACGTATCATCTAAAACAAATCCCTTAACAACCGCGGCAGTAATGCCAACTGCTTCAACATCGACGCCTTTTGCTGAATTCGTTGAAGTTTCACTCGACGATGATGATTAATAACGTTCGTTACAGTTCGTAGTGCTTAGTACAGTTTAGAAAAGCTAGTTAATTGTAACTAAAATGAGTGCACTAAAGAGAACGATCCCACAGCATGTCTTCACAGCACAAACGACCCGATAATGCTGCAAATGACTAGAATGGCCGTCGCCGTCAAGCTCACAATAATTTAGCATTTAGTAACTAGTTCTTTATCAGTCGTGATCGACTTATTATAGCAGTAATCAATACACAGCTTGTGATTGTCCCGCTGTTATTTTCACGCGAATACTGATTTTGATAGCTGATGCAAGCAGACTAGTCAAGCGCTGTGCTAACTTTACATATTGGAACTGGGAGAGTTGAATGTGTATACGCACCACATACGCCGAATGACTTTGAAGTAGTTTAAACAGTATGTGAACCACCAAGAATCCTAACTATCAGTATCAATCCCTCAGGTTTCTCTACAGCTATTTTATTCCGCCAAGTTACAGTGAACTTGTCTACGTGCACAGCCCACAATGAATCCTTAAAAATATATTCGCGAAAAATTGATCGTAATTAACTCGTTTCAAAAGGCCTCATATTCGTCACTGTTTTATAATATATTCTCATTAAAGCCTTGTTCCACGAAAGAACACCCAGTCATTCGTAATGTTTCTCTCTTGTGCAATGCTAGGTTACCAAATTACTTTATCACTGGGTAATTCTAGGGACTCGTATAGTAAATCTACCCGGTGAAAATGGCGGAATTATGGTTAGCTGTGAAATGTAAACAGAGTAGAAGCTTTTGATATTGATGGCAGGTCTTCTTGCCCGACTGGTCGGGCATAGATCATCGCTTATTGTTAAATAATAGTACCTTATACTACTTAACGGGACTCTTCTCCGGATTAGAAGAGATTTCTCTCGTATATAGGCTGAGGAAAAATATATGACAACATTAAGATGAAATCATTATACCAGTGAAGAAAAATAAGGTTGTAAGATCGATTTATAGAGACAGGAGTGGGTGATACTGGAGGCCGTTGGGGATTGCAAGTTGACAATACTTACAGAAGTAACTATGCTACACGGTGACAGCAGACAAGTTGTGGTGCTTTGCTGATATAGGAGTAACGCCGTTGAGGATTCGTCAAACGTTAAACAATTTTTACTATAAAATTTACAAATTCTCCGGAATTTTCCAGAAAAAAACGGTCCTATGAAAAGGAAAACATGCAGCTGAAATATTTCGTTTATTGCAATTTCATTGTTCTCGAGAAACACTACTGTGTCGTAATCCCACCATTTTATACTTACTTTTAAGTAATTGGTAAAAGGAAACCCAGAAAAACACAAGCATATACAGTTTTTTCGTCTCAGACGAACTATAGAGTTCTTTTTCTCCATATACATTTTACACATTTAAAATGTTGATTAGTTTGTCAAAATTAAACGAGTAATATAATGAATAACATCTAAACTGAAATCGCCCGTTCGTACCAATTTCAGCTTCTAGTGGACAGGTACAAGTAGAAGGAAGCGTTTGAGTAGTTGCAGACAGCAGTAACAATATCGTAATATTGCTATTAGGGGAGCACCAGTAGGCGTAGCGATAAAAGTAATGATAACGATGATAATGTTGATCAATAATGCGAATTCTGCTACAGTATCTGGTACCTACTAGCTTTGTTTCTTGCGACCGGTTCTACGTTTTTGTCGTCCATAGTGTACTTTACGCAACAGAAATTCCAGTTGACAATTGGCTAACCCCAGTCGTATGGTACAATATGGTAACGCTCATAAAGCGGTTTACACGATGACACGCCTATTTTAGCACTTAATAATTGAGCTGTGATTTCAGCTCCTCTAGTTACCGCAATCCAACAAAATGGGTTAGGTTTTTAAGGAAATACAGATTGACAGACATATATACTGAAGCAATTTCATCCAAATATTTTGTGCAAGTATCACCAGCAGCATATATGTGTCAATTGAAACTGCGAGTTAATAATAGTTGCGCTGATGGTAGGAGCTGGGACTTGTATTATGATCTCAGTCAAACATGATTTGACAACGATAGCATTAATAAGTCATAACAATAACCAGCACAAATATAGATGATCTTAAAGATACAATACAATAATGGCAGCAAAACGTTTCGAAAACAGTAACAGATTTCACAGTAATAAAACGCATCGCTGAATGTATACAAATCTATTGCAGTGTGCGTACTCTTTGTATAAAATTTGATTCATATGAAGTGTGAAGGGCAAGGTTTTACGAGAAATATTCGTGCTTCTATAAATTAGCAGAAAATAAATTAATTTTAGGAATTATAGTTGAATGCTAGCGCACAGGTACAATACGTTGGCAATCATGCGATCGTGTACCTAGTTTCATTTCTAAAACTAGAAAGGAAATAGTAAAGGCTATTTAACAAATGTTGACAACATTTTTCTCGTATGCAATGCACTTCAAACAGTATATAGGCAATAAAGGCCTGAGTGTTACATTGAAACTAAAGATGTTAGAACAAGTGAAGCGAGACTTCAATATCCTTCGTAAATAAAGTCTACATGATGACCAAAAAAAGTTTGCGTTTCTATTTATTGAAGCTGCATGTCGAAGTTAATTTGGTAAGTCTTTAAGGGTTTTCCTAAGTTACTTGTATTGTTATGAGTATCTTAGACAGATACTTACAGATAGTTAAGACAGATACTGGAAATCCGTTCAGGCTAGAATAGGTTTAAGCTAAAAGAAACGTGCTTATAATTTAATGTTCGCTTCTTATTGGTCCAGAAGTAATAGGCAATTAATAGTTTAATGACAATATGCGCTTGATTTGTTTTGTTTGCATTTATTTACTCTGCCATAAATAGCTTGATATGTTCAAGTGACACTTTGGCAGTTAATGATCTAAAGAAACAATTTAAAATCTTACCTGTGAAGTCATTATTTACTTTCATGGTATACCCTGCAATGACCGATAATTATGAAAAAAATATTACGAACTCGCATTTTTTACAACTCTAATCGGGTATGGTAAAAAATACTGTTGCTGTCACGAGGTTATTAGTGCGCCGGAATTATAAATCTCAAAATAAATCTGCAATTCTAAAAGTGAATAAGTTTTTTGAACCCAACACCAGCTCACGACGCAGTTGAATTTAACCTGTGTAATTGAAGATACCTTTAAAATACTTTAAAATATGCAAAGTTAGCTTTCACCATATCACTGTTATTATTGTTCTTTGCGGGAGTATCGGTTATAAAGAACATGGGAAGGAAAAGAGTACGTGCTTTGAAAAACTGTTTGTTGTCTTACCTTTCGGCTGACATTTATAGGAATTCGTCCTCAAAAGAAACGTTTAAACGTGTGAAGTCTTACTGGAGACGCAAATATAGACCTTCTAGAGACAGTAAAGCAAGTGATAAAACGATATTGTTTCTGCATGCCAACATCAAAGTGCTTTTTAAAAATGAGCGTTTGTCGTGGACGATCCGTATTAAACGAATCTGTAGACAAAAATAGCACAATGATGTAAGATAAATTTTCTTGGGTGTTCAGTCCATATAAATACGCAATTAAAGCTTACGCCTAATAAGGAATAACCCAACTTTCAAAGGGGAACAATAGCAGAAAGGTTTTTGGGTGCGCTTTTTTGCGCACTTTTGTTTGAATAACAAGTTTTTAATTAAGCTAGAATGTCCGGAGTGTCTACTGTAAACAGTTGAGTAAAACATCCGCTTGAAAAAATTTTGATTCTTTAATTGTATGTGAAGAAACGAACCACCCCATGCAAAAATCATAGCGTTAAAAGTTGCAGAGAGTTCCGCGCCTAAAGTACGCATGCGAGAGTTTATACGTATTTGGTGCAGCTCGGGCCCAAATATTAACATGTTATTGTGTCATATCTAAGAAGTTATGGGAAATGACCACGGTCATATAGGAAATTTGTCAGATTCTAGCCTCAGCTATCGACAATGAACGAGTTCTTCAAGAATTTGTCACTGCTTTGAATAATGAACCTCTTGAACGGCTAAATTATAACCATAATTTTAGTAAAATAATAAGTTTAGATTGGGTTTATTACGGTGGAAGCCCGCACGAATTTTGAATAATTTAAAAGCACCAGACGATAAATGTACTGATTACTTTCCACGCCTACAACTTAAATCATATTTCACCTACACAAAAGGAAAGCACTACTGCATGTTTTTACATAAATTTTCTTCGTAATTTTTCCCATATAAATTTGAACACGAAGTTCCCCTAAAAGCGAAATCTCAGACATGCCATTGATTGCCAGTGTCCTTCCTAGTCTTGAAAACAAATATGTCCATCGCCCCGCGAAATCACGTAAATAGTACCACATTCGTGCCACGAATGTGTCCTGAGAACGATTGGCTGAAGGGCAGGCACTATAATCGAGCAGTGGCAGTTAAGTGCGCCCCTGTGAAATTTTCAGAATGATTCTAACCCGCAAAACGATCGAACTGACTCAACATCTCATCAAAAGGAACTACGGTATCTCTGCTGTGCTTCTTAGCAAGGCTAGTGACCCAATTCAGCAGTTGTTCGTGGATAAAGTTCGCGAATATGGCTTGAAGTCAAAAGGTACGGTGTCGTTGTTAGCCAAATTCAGCTTCGTACTTCGTATTTATCTGCTGCTGTTGATCTATCCAAGCCGCAATCTTTGTTGCGTCGTTGTCAAAGGGGCATAAAGTTGTGCTGATTTCTATAATGGAATGAACTTAGAAAGAAAGCTTAACTAGCTAACTGTGCTTTTGTACTAACCTTATAATAGATTAGAGATTAATAAATTTGAATTTTGAGAGTTATTAGATGGACGACAGCAGGCTTTCTGAAGCGAATTCTTTTGCGTTTTAAGTATAAAACACTTGAACACTGAAAAGTATAAGTGAGATATTGAGCTTCGTGTTGCCCTGCCAGCTCATGTGTGGGAGGCCAATTGTACCTGTTACTATATGCTAATAAAATATTAAGTACGTATGATCCTTAATCATGTCGTATCAACGTTTCACGTGACAGTTTTGAGGATTGTTTTTAGTTTGGGGAAAGTAACTAGCACTACTTTATAGTAATAGTTTTCAATAGTTTTACGCCTATTCATTTTAAGAACTGTTAGAAAAGTGTAGCACGTTCTAGTTTATTCTTATGATTTTTAATATGTTGAGCACTGTCATTCATGTAAATGCTCTGTATGAATTTATGAGCACTTGTAGCTGGATGAAACTCAACGTGGTATCCGGGTGCGAGGCACCAACCACGTTTCTCAGCGAACCAGAACTAAATATAACGCTTAATATGCACAGTAATTCCATTGTATAAGCTTGATCATGTATGTATGATTTGTAACTGGCGTGATGATATCTGTTCTTACTTTAGGCTTTTAGTAGCGGTACGAATACTTCGTTTAAATACTTTTTTCTCCGTTGACAGATCTCTTTTACTAATAAGTTTATCAGTCTTTTCATTAAGTAACCGAGCTTTACTGTTCCTGTGTCTCAAAGCTACAAGAATTACGTTGTGTATTAAAGCAAATATTATGCTTAGTAGTAAAACAATATTGTTATATAAGTTCGAGTCATACTGCCAGTGTTTCTGTAACAGCGTATTATTATTGTTGTGGTCCTCTTTTAATATCTTCTTAAAATAACACTGAGATGTGATTAAAAAATAAATTATCAATTTATCAACTCGGACAGACCAGAACAAATAGTGATCAAAACTAAGCTGTGTTCTCTTTTCGATGCGCCTGGCTACGCGGTTTATAGGTCAGCTATTCGTCGATGCGACGCCATCTATTGAGAAGGAGTATAAAGATGAGATAAGCAAGGCTGAACGCCACTACGGAGGTGGCAAGGGCGTCGACATGAAGAAATTTCCCGACTTCAAGTTCTCTCAACCAAAAATTGAAATTAATTGAAATGGCCTCTGGAATGATTCTTAATGTTCTAGTTATGTAATTAAAATGGCTTTTGGATTTTTTTGATATATCATGGTAAAGCAAGAAATAGAAGCCAATTATCGAAATGAAATTAGTGAATAAATTGAACATATAATTCTAGTTATCTTCTATTAGTCGTAAAAATGAGTGTAGTATGTAGAAAGCATATATTTTGTTGGCAGAGATAGCAGTAAAGCTTAACAAAGATCTTTTTACAATGATATCAATCTGCATTCGCGCAGCAATAGAATCTACGCCAGAAGATATTGAAAGAGCACGAAAGAAAATGACCGATCTGTTACGGAATTACAGAAAAATATGTTTCTATCTGTGATTTTTATTAGTTAAACCTGAGCGAACCTCATATGTGTTATATTTAATTACTAAATAATTCCATAAATCTAAGACAAAGACAAGATTCAAAGGGATTCTTCCTTACCTAGGTTTGAGGAACCCACTTGACTGATTTAAGCAAAGAATGTATCAAATCCGACCTTTAACATTGGTATCGAGCAGCCACGTTACGCCTCGTCAATAGCGTTCTAATTATAAGTTAAGCTGGAGGGCATCGAGATTTTTGTCGAACTTTTGCTATTCTACGATTCTGTAATGGTAAACCATATGACCAAATGGCTTCGCAACCAATTTGCTCCCCATATGTGGTTCATACACCACAACGTATCCCTAAGATATTTAACAAATATGTTACTGTAACTTATTAATATTATATAATATATAACGGGGACGATGTGAAGCTTTTAGTACGAAAACTGAATAACTGTGATTGCACGCAGTCGTAAAGGGCCCGTTACCAATGGCTACATAAGAGGGAAAAAAGTTCCCTAAAAGTTTGATTCCGGAAACTTTTTTCTAACCATTCTGCGCATATATATATATACATATATGCATATATTTATGTCACCCTATACTAATAGATACGTCGTGTTCTCTTAAAGCGAGCATTGGCATGCGCTTTTTCTAGGTATGCAAAGTGGTACATTCGAATTAACACAGTTTTGGCAGGCTGTTTTTTGTGGCGAATATGGCGAGAATTTTGTATGTAGCATATTTGATCGATACGCCTATCTATTTTGCGTGGTGCACAGTAACTTCTAGGAACTCATTTGTGAATTTAAAAAGGAAATTTTGAATTCAATTTGAAAAAGTAAAGATAAAAAGCAAGTAAATAAAATAACAAAAAAATAAAAATAATTAGTGAGGGGTTTAGATCCCGAACGAAAGGCGTAATCATGATGGATGGTGGTCGTATTAAATCAACATAAACGCCAGGAATGATACCTATAGCACATAAAAATAAAAATACCTTATTTTGTTCAGGCGAAATTTTAGAAATTTAGAAAAATTGCAAGAATGTGTCAGAATTTCGATGCCTCACCCTGTATAATTACTTCGAAAGCAGATCTTTCTGTATTAAACCTAATAATAGTTTTAGTGGATGTGGGGTTTTTCCATACAGTGTTCCGCAAGTCTCTTGCCTCTGACTAATTCAAATCTTTAATTTATTCAAGACATGAAATACATAATCCTCCTTCTACAAAACACAAAAAGTGCCTTTCGTACACTTGAAGAAATGGCCGTAGAAACTGTTTCAATAAAATGAGCAAAGCGATATGATAATCCCGGTCGTTAAATCTGCAAAAGACTTGGCATCATTGTGACACCTACTTAAAAACCACCATGCCGGATTGTTTGTACGTTGTTCCATTATAATAAATCGTCAGTTTTACTCTAATCCTTCAAAGTTAAGCTTCATTGATGTATATATACCGGTATACTCTAAGATTGTAAGATCTAGCGACCTCATTTATAAAAATCTTTGAACGTGTCTACTCCGAATTTACTTGGCATATAACACAAAAATGTTATTTTTATATAACTTTTTTAGTATTTCATAATACTGTAGATCTAGGTATATTTGACTAGATTTCTGTATTTTCGAGTAATTTAACCTAAATAATTTAAATAATGCTAGAAGTCAAGAGAAAGAGTCAGAACCGAAAAAAAATGCTTCGGCTTGTATTCTTCCAATAAAATTATATCTGCTTTAGTTACTATAGATAATTCGTTTAGTTTCACTAAGAACTAAAAGGTATGGTTACTTGGGGTAGCTAAGTATTCTTTCGTGCTTTATTGAAGTTTTGGTAAATGATGAGAAAGCTCAATAATGAGCTAATTTTCGGCTGTTCTAAAGCCACATTTTCAAAGGCAAACTGGAAGAAAAAATAGTTACGTTGTTATATTACATAGACAGCCCAAAAGTTAGAATGAGGTAGAACACGACGGGCCATCACATTTCGATGTATGACATATACAGCATATATGACACTGCATGGCATCGATGTTAATTTTATGAAGAAATTGAGAGAACTAATTGGCTCCAGAACGTAACTCAGTAGAAATGCGTAGATGTATATATATGTCAAGTTGAACATTTTTTACCATATATAACTATTTTTGAACAAAAATGTTGATCACCTTATTAACACAACGCATTATTCCGACAAAACATTGTGAACATATACACTACGTCGAAAACAATCACGATTATGGACCATGAACTTACAATTTATGGTTATGTAGATCGGAATTAGGTAAAATCATCAGAGTTGGACAGGCTTCAAATTGATTTTGAGGACAGTGCGCCATGACCACTGTTTCTGCTCGTTTTTCGAATAATATAATTGTATTTTATTCGAATATATATATATATATATATATATATATATATATATATATATATTAAAAACACGATTGCAAATTAGCGATTCTATAGATTTATTTAATTAATCACTTATATACAACGAATGTTTTAGTATGATGATCTCGTTTTCGATTGATTGTATACAAAAGAATCATGATGATCGATCCATATGTACTTTTTCTCCACCAGTGTATATCATCCATGTTGCGGAAATGCATAAGTGTATTACTCAATCAGCCTATCAATCGATCAAACAATCAGGTAATCCAGTCAGTCATTCTCAGTCAATCAATTAAGCGGTATGAGTGACTGTTAAGTGCTTATCATACCTTGTCATATTGTCGTATATTTGACCCTGTTGTTTCTATACCGTTCACTTCTAACTAAGACAGATATACATCTATCTCTAGAATATCTACGTGCATTGGAACTCGATCTCAGCCACTTGCCAGTACCACCTGAGGTGCTGCGGTAGCCTTCACCGCGGCGGCTAACCGGGCGGGTGTTCATTAACTCTTTTGGTTTTTTGTGAATCACTGCGTTTTTCATATGACGATGCGTTTCTCATATGACGACAAGATAACAAGATAGGCTTGATAGTCTTGTTCTTCTTTTGTTTTTTTTTATCGGAATCCACACACAAACACGGTTTCTACCTGAGTAAAACACAGTTTTACTCATTAGTTAGTAATTTGTTTACTTTTAGTGAAAGTAATGATATCGATCAAGCTGTGATATTCGTTATGATCTGCTTATATATATATATATATATATATATATATATATATATATATATAAGCAGATCAGTTTTATGACTAATTAGAACAAGACTGTTGCCTCTTATAAGACACGACCTGGCAGGCATGAACAGTCATTTTTCGCTCTCTAATCGACATCGACGCACAATAGGTTGAAGTGCTGAATTAATTTTATATAGCTCAATCACAGAACAGCTTAGTAGTTGCATCTCTCAGTGCTCTCGTTTGCCACAGTCGATTGTTACTCAATTGAGTGACAGGCATCTGTTGTTCGTTTTTGTTGGCCATGTTTGAACGCTCAAAACGAAGCTCAGATAGTGTCACTAACAATTACACTCGTTATCGCGCAACATAAATTCGTCCCATTTGCTAAAATCACAAAGGACTAAATAGTAAAAGATACAAATATGATGCTAACCAATTACGCAGGGATCGCAACCGTCGATTCCATGAGCCTCAAAGGTTAAACACGAACTTGTGTGATATCTCCGTACATTTCGTCTCAAACCATTTAATAGCCCAACATAACTTGACTTTTCGGTATTTTTATTATCATCTTGTCTTTGGTAAAAATATCCGAGACACTAGTGAGTGCGAAATACAAGTTCACAGATGTTGTCGTTACGTTTTTGAGCGTGGCGAACACAGTGATCTCAATAATTTTTGTGTTTGTATTTGCTGTGAATCAAATTTACTGACAGGTGGCTGGGTTGAGTGTCGAGATCATAAAATAGTTTGAAACCCAATGAACCTCAAGTCCATCACGGTAGAAAGCTTTGATTAGTGTTCTCCCCTATCGTGCGATTCCAATGAACCAATCAATTGCTTTCCAGTTTCTATTGAAAGCTGTGTATCTCTATTTTATAGGAGATGAAAAACAATCAAGCGCAAAAACTTTTGCACTTGACAATTTTACGACAACCGATAATCGTGGGTCAATAAAATGACGAATGGTCATGTACGGAATATGTGACCGCCCGTTCATCTATGATAGTAGTCAGCGTATTCGCGTAGTTGATTGGAACGGATTTAAAATCACTACAAACTAATAAATTTAATCGACAACAATAATCCTACTACTTTCAGTTACAATCAGTTAATAACTGTAACGTGGCTCAGACATTTTCGATTATCGGTATCGTTTTATAACAGTCATTTTTTGATGGCAATCCACTCATCATCTTTTGTCAGACCTGTCATTTAGATTGTTAATCTAAATCTAAAAAGAAGATCTGATTTGCGCAAGAAGAGCGGGATAATGAGTCAGATATGACTCAGCGTAAGAAACTAGTAACTAATTAAATACAAAGCGTTGACAAAGCTGCATCGATAAGGCAGTGGCAGAAATGACACGTCTTCCTTCACTTGTCAGTCAGTTTGTGTCCAGCTGTAGGTGATAACCTGGGTAAGGTCAATAGGAATGTTTTGTTACCGGACAGCGATTGTCCAGTTAAGCAGGCCCATCTTAAAGCATTAGTCTTCATCAGGTACTTAAGCTAGCATTTGATTTGTTGCTGTGTACACCTCGGAATCAAGGTAGAACGAAAATGAACGCACGCTTATATGCACGTGAATGCATTCTGATGACAGTACCTACGCCTACAGAGTAGATGCGCCCTCGTTTACAGAGGGCGTAAATTTTTGATGTGAAGTGAATGCTCTATGCTATTCCTTGGCGAGTTCAGCTGCCTTAGCAACAGCCTCCGTAATGTCGCTATAAACCGGGACGCGACTACGAGTAGCCTGATCTGACAGGTACGACCTGCCGCGATTGTAATCTTTGGCTTGGGTAGTGGACACCTTTTCGCCGTAAATCTGTGATCCTACGGAAACGTCTTGAATGCACAGAACCACTTTGAATTTCTCAAGCCCAATATAGAAGCTTGCCTGAAAACGCACGACGAATTAAAGATGGTACGGCTGGTTGAGCAGAGAACTTTTTTGTTATTGTTCTACTTCAAAACTTCCACTACAAACTTCAAAAAACGATACATTTCTTTACGAAAAACAACATACCATAATCATTTCCGGCGCTCCCCAAGTGTCCGACGGAAAAACAAACAGCAGAATCTTACAGCTTTCAATCTGCTGCATCTCCATAGGGAGGAAGTGTTTGCTACTATCATCATTGCGCGTTCTGAACGACACATGCTCTTTCCTAAATTCGAGAAATGAGCAGAGTAGCAAAACTGAGTTTATCGATAGGAAATGCTCTATTTTAGTTACGTTCATTGGATTAGCAGAAGGTTTAACAATTTAAGCGTTTTGATTAATGCCAGAACGTGCTAGTATATATGCATAATAAAGCCAAAACTGACCTACATTAGCACTATCTACTTTGATTATTCATGTGCACATGTTTTTATCACTTCAGAAGATAACACTGTAAAAGAGACTGTAAAATAAAACTAACTTGAAATGGGGCAAAGCGACGGTCGTACGCCAATCTTTTGCACCAGTGGGGCCTCCGATGAACACCTTCTCTGGTTCGCGATACTGAGGTAAGTACCGCTCGGAAGGCCAAGAGATACCAAGTACTTTGAGCAGATTGGGCTTAACCATCATGCGATATTCAGCGTTAATCATACAGTATTGATCAAATGTAATGCTGTCCGTGTCGGCCATGAGGAGTTCTTTTGGAAGCTCTCGACCTGTCGAAGCACGGAACGCCATGCGTCTCTCAGGAATCGAGAGAGTATCGTTCGTCGAGTGGTTATCGAACGCACTGTGAATTTTGCTGTAAGTGCAATAACACAGTAACTTATGTTTGCATTCATTGGCGCTCAATAATTTCCATTCAATCATGGTACGATGATTTAACAGAGATAGACATGCTTTTGAAAGGTGAGTTTATCTATGCGTAACCAATGTTAGACTCACATGAACTTTTCGCCGAGGTTTTTGTCGCAAATCGGCGCAGTTTCGTCGGCGTTAGGTTTGCAATGACCCTTTACGATATCGATACAGCCCTGCACAGCAGCCTCAATTTCAGCGTGAACTCGGACACGGCATGCTTCAGCGATAGACCGCATGTAATTTCGAGCACGTTGCATTTCTTGCATTTCTCTGTAGAGGCAAAATATAAACGTGCAATTTAATATATCATCATACATATAACATATAAATTCTTATAATTTTATTCTGAAGTCATTCAACTCAACCACTTCTGTAGACCTACTGCCTGGCTAAAGATATGGAGGTGCTTGCCGTGACTTGTGACCCCGTTCCAAGGTCTTTGCTTTGTCCGAGGAAGAAGCGGATAAGCAACTGTCAGACAGGTTTGCCCAACTCAACTGCGAGTTCCCAGTTCATGTTCTGTCGGTCATATGATTCTTATCGTGCTACTGGTATGTCGTTGAACGCAAAAAAAGTAACAGATGCTCGCATCAAAAAAAAATCGGTTCTACCACTTTATCATTGAACAACGATTGCAACGATTCCATGATAAGGTTTAAGATAAAAGAAAAAAAGATGAGATAAAAAAAAGCTGCATGAAGTAATGGTTCAGTCAGATGCTGGCCCATCATGCATCTGCTGTCGCAGTTACCGTTATTAATATTTTTACAGATCCTCTTCCATCCCCACCATTCATCAGAAATCGCTTGATTTCACCTCTTCGTCAGTGGCATCATTGTCACAAAGCGCTTTGTCGAGTTCGTTCATTTATTTATTGATGCCTACGACCATGCAACTGCAGCATCAGCAATAGCATCACCCAGTACAGAACTTAATTTTCGCAGGAATTCGTTGCGTACCGCTACTGTGTCGAGGGTTCAGTTGCCGCACATATTACCTGCCTGGCTGTCGTTCCTATTGCTACGATCGGCACCGTCATCACTCCCCCCCCCCCCCCCCTACCTAAACACCTAAGCGTTCGGTAGATCGAAGCAACGCCTACAGGCAGTGTTCTAACGCCGCCACCTCAAAATCTGAGGAGTCTAGCGATCAACACTATTAGCGGTATCCGACGAAGGGTCATCAAGGTTGTTCATCTCTTCAACGCAAAAAGAGATCCCAAAAATGAAATATGGGGCAAAGGGAACACGAAGCGCAAGACAGAATAACCAGTGTCTCGACGCCTCTGGCTTTTTTCTATAATCATGGCCTATTGCAAGGCACAGAGGCACTCAACCTGTGAAAGCAGACGTGTTAACGGCAAAGATAGCCCTCATACACATACATCTATCCAGCGGCATGTTGTATACACATGTAGAAGCGGGCCAGCCAATGAAAAAGGAGGGAAATTCAGAGAATCATGACGAAATACTATGAAATGGATGAAAAACCGCTAAGTCAGCGGAGAGATGCGTGAAGAAGAACAGAATGATGACACGAAAAAGGAATCTCAAAAATACAAAATGAGATCGAATAGAGCTGAGGATGCTCTTACTGCCATAAGTGTTAGTCGCTAGTGAAGCTAAAACACTAATCGACGCTACTGCCAATTGCATGGTGTACCATAGTGTATAGTCTAATGTCTAAATGTCTAAAATTGGCGGACAATTCTTAGTCTAGCGTCAATGAATCTCCACTTTTAGGCAGAAAAGCACGCAATAAGGGTGCACCGTGTATCTGCTGCGTGAGACTAGTTGAGATACAGCGGCAACACCAATACCGACGTTAACAACGACAACGACTGCGAACGTATGATTGTGTACTGGCAGTCCATCTTTTCGAGAATACGTTTGTTGATCTAGAATAATAAGTAGGAAAAAATGAACGGCAGCAGCTGGAATTGTATTCAGTTCAATTAGCCGTCTGGCATTGCCAAACGAGAAACACCGACCCTGCTGTAGACCGCCGGCATTTTCGCAATAACCTTGTCATAGTCCATGACCTTCATAAAGCAAACAAGAATGTTCTAATGCAAAACTTTTATGAAATATACTCATACAAAGTTATGCATTGGCGAAAAAGAGAGCCAACATCGAAATGGCAAGTGTTTACCTGTCTGAAAGAGCTTCGCCCATAACGCCTTTGCCCTGGTCCTCGATGGCCAGTATGAGCTGTTTCCTGCGGGCACTGAGCTCACCGGCCTCGACCATTGATGCCAGGGAACGGGTTTCCTTGTCGTGGACGAACAGGAGGACGCGGGCATTCTCCTTTGCTTGCTGCTCAAGTTCGATCAGTTCAGGTCGCCAGTCAGATCGTTGCTGTGGTAGTGCATAGCCAATAGCCATATCGCCAAATTATTGCAAAACGATGGATCATGTAATCAAACAGAGCACAAGAATGAAACACTAAAAATTATCCAGTTGTCTTCCTCTGTCTGGAAATATTTTTCTCACCAAAAACACGTTCACGTATTGCATCTATGAGGATTTTTACAAAAGATGGCTATTAATTTCTCCGCACAAAGGCGTAAAAACTAACTGAGCAATGTAGTCCACACCCATATACACCTACAACCACATAATTGTAGGACTATTATTTTTGGAGGAGCCAAGCGTCCCATGACAGCAAGTTCCGTGTATCTGATTGAGCCCGCTTATAGCCTTTCATGTGGTCCGGCCAGCTTAATTCGGTTCGCCTATCGCACCAGCCAGTCATTTGTATGTATTATGTAAGAACACGCAAACTGAGGGTTGGATACGGATTGGATTCATTTGAATCGTGTGAATGAACATAATCACGTCAGATGGACGTCAAATACGGAACCATGCTAACATATATGCACTGAAGGTAGCCGCAGGTACAATTCCATTACCTAATACAATGAGTCCATCAGCGATTTTAATTATTACGTGACAGCGCGTAACGCGGCGATTACTGCGGGATACCGTCTCCTGTAGACTAAATTAAATTACATTTTGGGGTTCTGTCTCTCATGAGACTCGTTTTGTCTGCGTTTCAATCTTTCACTATACGTTATCCTCCCTATTCCGAGTTACGGAATGGGTTACTGAGACAGTGCACGGTGAGCTTTGTGGCCACTAAACTGCAAGACGTATTATTGTTAGTGCTATTATCATCGTTTTTATTATTACTACTGTAATCATTTTCTTGTTAATCTCCTTCATTCTTTTTGTTGTTACTTCATAAATGCGCAGTGAAATGTGCGGGTTCAACAAAATAACAAATAGGGTGACGATTCAGGCCGGTCGGGTAGAGGACAAACGAACGGACGTCAAAGGAGCTAAAGAGGAGAAAAATTAATTGCGTTCAAAGGGGTACGCTCGAATTGTAGATGATCTTTCCGCTACACTTGACGGCCTCGATCGACTATTGCCAAAGACGACACGAACACTAAAAACAGCTCGTCCAGCGATCGCCGTCATTATTGCTACTGCTATGGCTGGCGCTTGTCGTAACCGTCGCGTTAATACATCATCATCACAGATACTCGGCTGTAGGATGAGGGTGGCCAGACAACTGCTGATTGGAATATCGTATCGCATAAGCGCAATGAAACAAACAGACTGCGTGACAAATCGTGGACGGCAAAACAAAGAAAAAAATACTTGTCGTGTCATCGGCTCATGTTTACCGAAGATTTTTCAAAATGGGCTGGCCGCATCGCAACGCCAAAAGGTAACGGTGACCATTTTCTCTTATGTTGTCCTGTAGGCACTGACCTAGCATTTAATAGCCTTTCAAGTAGCGGAAAATGCGCACTAATACATTAAAATAAACAACAACCCATCGAGCAGAAATTAGCTGTTGCGCCATTATTACCATCTATTACAGTAAACTACATGCAATTATTCCGCCAATGAAACGAACGTTATCTTCTTATCGAAGCAAGCCATTCTCAAATATTCAAAAAGGTCGACATAGTATCTCTCATATACGTCCTTTGTAAGGATGTGTACATAACGGTAAACTTTACAACCTATCTCGTGTAGCAGAAATGATACAATTAAGTATCATGCTATTGCAGTTTTTGCCGCTGTATTCCTCTCTAATCAAGAAAACCGCAGCGCTTTTTATGCACTCAGACTATAACACAAAACAGAATGAGAGACACCGCGTTTTCAGCGAACGCCAGCATAGCGGCAGGGCAACGAAAAGCCAGAAAGTCCAAGAGCCCGCACTAACTCTGTGGAATGTTGAGACATCGGCGTTCTAAAGCGGGCAAAATTGTGGATCGTTCGTGGATGCGTGCTACTCCACCAGCTCATCACGATGCATATACCGACTAACTTGATTTCGGCTAAATACGTTTTCTAGTCGGTCTGCCTACATATCTGATGTATGTCGACCTGCAGTTACGCCGATGGTCTTCGATAGCTTCTCGCATCGAACTGATGCCGCTGCCAGCCTCAGCTAGTACAAATCCTGCGTTTACCGGCGTTATAACTGCTTCTCGTACCATCACAGTAATCGGAAGCCCGACGGCGATGCTTAATTAACATCGACGCGGACGAACGAATAGATGAGCGGCTTCGTATATGCGTGTGCGAACTACGTTGACACCAACTAACATATACAAGTACTTTTGCCGCCTGACTTGAGTCTGGAGCAGCTAGTGAAGTCGAAACGGGGCATTCAACTTCTCCGTCTCCACTCTTTACTTGTATCTCTCTGACATATCGGCATTGCAGGGAGAGAGATCCGGCTGCCGTAGACAATAGTTTTACCACAACAACAGCGGTCATAACACCTATGAAACTCTTATATACATAAAGCTTACCTTTCCTCTGGTCTCGATAATAGGGATAATATATGTGCGTTTATGCAAAGCATAAATTATAAGATTGTGCATTTGATTCGTACCGGATTATAGTAGGTGACTTGGGCCTGTTTCAGAGCGGGAATGGCTTGATCGCGTCGCCATTGCGTCGGATTGCACGAGCCTCCAAGAAAAACTGAAGGAAAGAAAGGGAAAAGACATGTTAACTGCTATGCATATCAAACTATTTATAGCATTAGGGAAGAAGATATCAACCGGCTGAATTTTCCTGAGTTTATTTTAATTTGCTAACTTGAATCAACCGGGAGCTAATTTAAAGAGTTTTTAGATATGAAAAGATGATTAGTAGGCCAGTTTAGGAGAAAAGTACAGGTTTTCGCCAAAGTCAAAGACCCTATTGTACGGAGAGCAGCATACAAAACAATTTCTTATCGCCCACATGTTTTCCTTTCTACAGGGCATTAATATGCATAGGTATTAAGTGAACGGAACTGTACGTAGATCTGCTCGACTCAGGTGACGCTTTGTCTAGTCACTCCACCTCATGCATATAGCTTTATATGATAAAACCACCTATATTGTTTCAAGCGCCCAGCTTACAGTATGGCAATAAAGTAGAATCCCTTTAACCACATCTACGCTAAACTTCCTAGATCATATTCAATTACAAAATCGCAAAGCTTCCGACCCAGCTTTAGGTGATGGATGACGAAAGATTAGCAACAGGCACGTAAACATTAATGTGTGTGTCGGGGTAGAAACTAGCCTTAAAGAATAGCCAGGCTTCAGTTTGACCATCAGTCACACATGCTGCTTATTGTACAATGCTTTGCGTAGCCATTTATGCGAAAGTGAGCAAAAACCAATGATAAGTAGCATTTGCGAGACCAGTAATTTTGACTAAGGCGTCAAGCGCCTTTATGAAGAGACTGCTTTAGGACCAGAACGATAGATACCGCTGTCCAGGCAATCAAAGATGCGGGTAGGAGCTAAAATATGAGACTAATGCATTGGACAAGGCTCTTGCTGCCGCCAGGTTAACCTTTGTACGTACGTAAATCGCACTGATGGCAGAATTCGGGACGCTTATCTATTACTGTGGTAGCTAGGACCGCCAACAAATATGGATGGGTGGCCTGAAGATTATCGAGAGCTTTGGATATGCGATTGACCTCTCTAGTACGTACACATATCTCTGATAGGTTTTATTGTGAATCTTATCCATCTGCCTTGCTGTTTACGTAACTTCAGCCATTCATAAGCATACTTCGTAAATCACTTTCGTAAAAAATTGCAAAAAAAAAAGCAAAACGTAGAGGAATTAACCAGCGGGAAGATAAGCTTTCGACGCGCCCAATGCAAACTATTAATACATGTGCGTTCTATGAAAATGATTTGACTATGTTAATTTCTACCGAATGAGGAAAGTGAGCGTCACACAGTTAGAAGCAGCTAAGCATAATAATCTATGTTAATTATGATAATGATCGTCGGCACGATCAGCAGAATGTGCGTGAGCTTGGGGTAGTAGCGGCGGCAATAAGCGGGTCGACATTTCGCGGTCCAGAGGCCAAAGCAGCGGTTGCGGGTGACGAATCTATATCGGACGAGCATCAACACTCTGCAAAAGGCAAACGGTGAACGGCAATCGTCGATTTCGTCGTCGATCTTCTTGCCATCGTTGTTGCCAATGCCGGTGTTGCTGCTGCTGAGAGCGCAATCGGCGTCAGCACGACTGTCCAGTTTACAATCGGAGGCTTCGTCACGTTTTAGGACTCACTCTCGATTTTCGATGTGATGCGCTGCTCACGGAACTCGCCGTCCAACAGACGCTTGGCGAGCTGCAATGCAACGAGCGGCAATAGCAGCAGCAAGCGCTATGTATAATAATATTATATATTGCTATTATGATGTAGAGACCAACAATTTGCCGCCTTTAAGATAGCCCGTAGTGTTATGACAATTCTCTATAATAGCACTCTTTCACTTGCCCCCACAGTAATAGTGTCGGCTGAACATGTGTAACGGTTAAGAAACGGAAAAAAGCCCGTAGATGGACGATAAAGCACGAGGGTTTAAAAGGACACCCACAAAAAGGGCATTAATAGAAAAGGAACAAGGGGTCACAAAGAGGAGGAACAGGAAAACACGGGGGTTTTTGGAAAGCAATTGCTTGTATGAGTATCCATTTGCGATGCAAGTTCCATTACCTTCAGTACAAAATGGTCCGATAATTTCGACGTCATTGTCAAATTCGACTTGCGACGGCTCCCTGCGGGGACGCTTGTTTCGAAAGCTTTCAGTTGATGTATCCTTGTGATTGGTCGGAGGCACGGGGAGCTGCGCGGGCCCTCGCACCGGCAGCGAATTCACGACACTGCCATGGTGGTTACGGTATCGATCGAATACCATCGGACTTCCCACCGACATCTGATACAGTCACTTAGTGCTTCAGCGCAATTTATATGCAAACGTGAATTGTTTTTTTGCTAGGGGGTTGCCACTTGCGCGCGTCTCGGGATTGTGGGGGCTGATTGTCACAACAGTTCAAAAGAAGACCATTTACCCAGTAGATGGTTCTTGTCAAGTGTACGCAGGTACAAATGTAATCGTCTCGCAGTCATTAGTGCCAACTCTGCTAGCGCGGCTCCCTTTCTTATAAGTGACCTCTCCCAACACAACGGCGTGGGCAGGAGCGCTGGTCGTGGCGACGGCGAAGGAGGAGGAAAAAAACAAAGAATCACAGTAATGCCGGCTCTCACCGCTGCTGCTTGATACGCCTTTGCACCCGATCCTTCTTACTGTTACCAGCATCACCACCACGCGGTCTACCAGTTGCTCTCAGCCGTTGCCATCACTGGGTACTCAGTCAGGAACGGATACTAGTTCAAGCTTTTGTCGTCAGCTTCCTTAAATTTTCTCATCCACGTTTCCTTTTTTTTTTTTCGTTCCTCTTTTCGTAAAAATCGTTTCTTTTAGGTAAAACATCAACGACTTCCCCCATCTAGAAGTAGGCCTTGCTCGACTCCTGGGATTCCACAATAGATTTGCAGAACCTCACGACAAGCATGTATTAGCCTTATTAACTTTCATTAACGTAACTGCAAATCTATTTTATTACCTTGTGCTGCTGAAACGTTTACCAGCATAATAGCATGCTTGTTAATTATGATTACCATTATCAATTATAGAACGCACTTAAAGATGGCTTTTTGCTCGTGTGCATATATAAACATAGTCCGACACTGCCCCAGGTTAGAAACCAATCGATAATCGCAGGTTGTCACCTATCGTGTGATGTAGTCGCACAACCCAGCAGTAACAGCGGCCAACATCGTAGGCGTTTTTTTGAGCTATGTCTGTTCTAGTAATCGTTTGCCTGAGACTGCTAATGAATAGTGCAGAACAATGCTGAATAACTATGTATGCTGTTTCACCAGGCAATATAAACTTCGTCAATAAATTGAAGCAGTTATTGAGACCAAACTCAATTTTACTCCTACGATAGCTACGTATACATACGTAGACATGTATATATAAACCAGTTCAATGTGTCATTCTGTGCGTAACAGTTCCTACATATACGTTCACTGTAAATAAAGGACTACTATTAGAAAACAAGCTATCTACCGATTCGCCAGACAAAAACGTTTATCGTCATTAAGACGTAATGGCCAGTCACGTGTGTAAAAGAGTAGTTAGCTCGATTGAGGTGGCATCGCTATGTTCTCGATAGGATCACACGCAGTCGGGCGTCTCTTTCTCTTTTCCCTTTCCTTCTCTTTCCCTCTCCTTCTCTCCTATCCTGCTCGCTCCAGCAAACTGTCACGGTCTATCAGGCTTTCTCACGTTAGGCCAAGGTGGCCCTCAAACAAGAAACAGTCATCATCATAGCAAACGCCATTGTGACATTTGATGAAGCGCGTTCTATCGAGGGAGTAAGGGAAAAGGAAGGCAATGAACGGCCGTCGAGGTTGATGGCAGCCTATTAGCAGAGACGTACCAATGTAAACTCCAGCAGTAACAACAACAGCAGCAGCAGCAGCAGCAGCAGCATCAGGAAATTTGCAAGTGCTGGAATACTAATAGGTAGATTTATCTCGTCTTCCTACTGATCGGCAATTGGCTACCTGCCGTCAGCCATTGAGTACCTTTTCCCTGTTGGTCGATCCCATAGCCGTAGCAGCAGTAGTAGTAGTAACGGCAGCCGTGTACGTTTGCCAGCATTACACTGCCTGGCTTTTCGCTACTTCTATAACGGCCGTTGCGAGTGTTTATAGAAGTTGACGTTCGAGCAGTAGTTTCGGCAGGCGTTCGGAATAGGGATGAAGAAAATCGCCGTTTAAGTGAACCTAAAAGTGTTTCCTGAGAACGTTGCCAACCGCATAGCCTGGATGACCGTTTTAGAACGGACATTAATATCAAGCCGGCCTATATACGAACAATCAAACATAGAGGAATGCTATAGCCGATCTTAGATTTGTTGTATTCGTTACAAGCTCAATAATTCAACACAGTTTTATAAATTTATCGTAATATATAATAATTCATCTCGTAGACGAGTACTAAACGATTGAAAACGTAGCCGTTTAATCTGTCCTGTATCTAGTAAGTGCTCGAGAATAAACAAGCCCGTAGCAATGCTTCCTCTTCGCATTTACACTTACATAACAAGATGCGGCGGTAAGCTCACAAGTACACTTCGATCTGTACAATTAAATACATGAACATCCACTTAAAAAAAAATCACAAGGATTTTGAAAAATGAACTACTTTTACATACACGTTATAGTGCGTGAACTTGTCACGTGTGCTCTTGTCATACTCCTAGAGGAGAACAATTCTCTTATGCTGAATGTAGGACAGACGCAGAGAGATCTACCGGTTTTAAGACTGTCAATTTTTGAGAGCGGGTTCAATGGATGGATGAGAAAGTTCCGTTTGCGTCACAACTCACGTCAATCGTTGATCACAGAAGGCATGAAACACGCGAATCATGCTATGCTACGCGAATCACCCTAATGCGGCGTGAATTATCACGATCTGATCTGTCACTAGGAAAACGAGAACTATTTTTAGTTCGTCTGTTCAAAATAATTAAGCAACATCAACGTCAACCAACCCCTCTCGAATGGCCCAGATGTTGTCAACAGCAAAGAGCTTAGAACAACAAGG